TGCGTTTTCCTTTTTCCCGTGAGAACCTAGCAGTCGTGTCCCGCGCTGACGTCATAGGGTGACATTGCTAGCGTTTAATAGGAGAGAGAGAAAAAAAACAAGCGATCTCAGATAAAAAGTAGCTTGGTCAGGTGTTGATTTTTCGTTTAATGTAACTGCTAATAATAACTGTCATTGTTATGATCACATCCAGGTGCCAATAATAATTCATGATGTGCTGCAATATTTACAGAAGATATTATCAAGGACAGAGCAAAGCCGGTACAGACAGTGGCGCAGGTAGGGGGTGGATTTCGAGTTTGAACCCCCAGAAATACTTTCCAGTTTCAAATGATTACTCACGGATAATTAACATACAGTACACAGTGCACTTTATTATATATACATTTTATGAACATCATTATAGCGCAGTAATTGCATTTTTATTTCACAGCAATAGCACTGGAATGGTGTCCATAAAAGATTAACATAGTCATCATATTTAACCTTCACAAATTTCAGATGAGCAAATGAACAAACTTAGTTTGTGTAGTCACTTTTAATTGGCTATGTACTTTGGAGAAACAGGGTTAACCAATTAAAATCATTGTTTTTTCTGTTTGAAAGCATCCTTGCAACACTCTGAGCTCAGGGATATTGAAGTGAATTGTGATGAAGTGCCACAGATTTACTTCAGGAGATGAAAATGAAACAGAAATCTGGTTTTATAACATAAAATATAATTTCTCCACTATTGTTGCCGTCTTAATTTAATACATTACAGTGGAAGTGTCGTAAAAGTATTTTATGGCAGCATTATTAATATATGAAGATTGGTTGCCTTTCCACTCCATATGTCCGTCGCAGGGCACTATGCACATACACATTGACACCTAGGGGCAGTTTACCATAGACAGTCCACCTATTGATGTTTTTGGGAGGTGGGAGGAAAACGGAGAATCCAGAGAAAGCCCACACAGACAGTAACCGGAGCTCAGGATCAGACTGGGGACCCTGGAGCTACCCGCTGCTTCATTGTGCTGCCCTCCACACAAAATGTAGATGGAAAATATCTGATTTTTCCCACTCAGTATTTGTCTTCCTAAATAAAATCAGAATTAAAAAAGTTATTTTTCTTAATAAATGTGTAAAGTCACATGTAACACTTAAACACGTAAACATGCCTGTAGTATAAGATCTGATGTAAATGTCACTTTTCCTCAAGTCTTCCAGATAATTAAACTTTGTTTACTTGAGTTAACAAGATTATTCATTTGGGATCTCACAGAAACAAAATACATTTTTGCCCAAAATAAGAAAGTTGACTGTTCTGTGGTATACTGACTGTTTTGTGATTTATCCATATATCACACTTCATGGACATAAGCCTGTTTCTGCAGTAGTGGTCCTTTGTGGTGTGTGAGCCTCCCTTTCTGGATTTTCCAGAAAACTGTCGACCACACTATGTCATTTTTTCAGGTATGGAGATCAGTGCTCACATTAACACACACTTAATTACAAGGTAAAATAGGGACATTGAGTTATTCAAAACGAAAATGAGGTAAGAAGTTTGTAGCAAACCTTATGGGTTTGGGCAGTAATGAGGAAGCAGGAGGCAAGCTTGGGAACAACTCAGAGGTGTTTTATTCTCCAATTTCACTTTCGCTTTCAGCAGTTGCCGCAGCCATCTGCGCGCCTGGCATGTGGACCACCTTGAACTTAAACGGCTGAATTGTCAGATAGCAACGAGTAATTCACGTGTTGGCATCCTTCATGCAGTGAAGCCACTGGAGCAGAGCATGGTCTGAACAGAGGGTGAAGGCCTGTCCCAACAGATAGTATTGGAGGGTGAGGACCACCCACATGATGGCCAGACACTCCTTCTCTATTGTGCTGTACTTTGTCTCTCGCACGGAGAGCTTGCAACTGATGTACAGCACAAGGCACTCCTCCCTCTCCACCACCTGGGACAACACGGCCCCCAGCCCTCTGTCCAGTGCATCAGTCTGCAAAATAAAAGGGAGAGAGAATTAGGTGAATGCAAGGGCGGTTCGCCACAGAGTGCAGCTTTTACCTGAGTGAAAGTCTGCTGGCACGGCTCCGTCCACTGATCTGGCGCCCCTTTTTGGTGAGCTCAGTCAGCGGACTGGTGACTCCACTCCACTTGCCATTTAGCCACGTCCATGATTTGGGACGGAGAGAGGTGATCTCCATAAGGGACCGGGGTTGGATTGAGCTGCTGTTTTAGATTTACCACCGGTCCTAGCTCCTCCCTCTCCAGAACAACCATCACCAAAGCCACTGGACCCACCTCTCTCCACAGTTCAAGGAGGTTAAGGTAGTACACCTGCTGTGCCCCGCCTCTATCCATTAGCCTTATCTCATAGTAGACACCCCCAACCTGTTGTGTGGCCTCAAAGGGCCCTTGCCACTTACTAATTTAGAGCTTGATAGTGAAAAGTAAAAAGAGCACTTTATCTCCCGGGGCAAACTCCTATAACCGAGCCTGTTATACAGCCGGGATTGACATTCTTGCGGCTGTAGCAATTTCTCCTGGGTTATGTGGCTTAAGGTGTGGAGTTTTGCTCTCAGGTCAAGAAAGTAATGAATTTCATTTTTACTGTTGGAAGGTCCCTCCTCCCAGTTTTCCGAATGACGTTGAGCACGCTGCGAGGCTTCCACCCATACAATAACTCAAACGGGGGAAATCCTGTGAAGGCTTATGGGCCCTCTCACACAGCAAGTAACAGGGGCTCTGGCCACTTATCCCAATGTCGGGAACAAACTTATGAATCATGTTTTTCAGTGTTTGATTGAATCGTTCCACCAGCCCATTCGTCGGCAGATGATAAACACAGGTGCGAATCGATTTAACCCCCAGCAACTCATAAAGCTTGCATAGTGTTTGTGACATAAATGCCGTGCCCTGATCAGTCAGGATCTCTTTCGGGATCCCGACTCGGGAGATAACACGGAAGAGAGCCTCCGCAACATTACGTGCGGAGATGTTGTGCAGAGGCACTGCTTCTGGGTATCGCGTTGCATAGTCTACTAGTACCAATACAACGCGATGCTCTCTTGCAATTTGATCTAATGGCCCGTCAAGGTCTATGCCAATGATTTGAAGGGGACCTCAATTAATGGGAGTGGGCACAAAGGTGCTTTTGGGGTGGCTGGCGGATTCACCAGCTGACATTCGAAACAGGCTGCGTACCACCTGCAAAGGCTGTTATCGTGCGACTGCTCCAAGGGGAAATCCCAAGGGAAATTGCGGCCAAGAGGGGAGGAGCAGAGCTCCCCCTGCTCTCAATGTCCGCCTCCTCAGCCAATGCTGCACACATCCCACATTGTTTTTCACTATTGCAGGACCCATCTACAAACATTTCTCTTGCTTGGAATTCTAGCCAATTTGTTCCCAGGATTAGTGGATGGGTGAGGTGAATAATGCGGGTGCCAGAAGTGAATAATGACTGACACTAGCGGATATTCGTGAACATCCCTGTGCACACACCTCACCTTCACCAAATGTGCCTTTCCCAGTGCCTCACCTTTAACCAAGCATTGGTGAATTGAGGTCTGGTTACAGCCCGGATCCCCCAGTGTGTGGTATGTACTCCCTTGAACACTCACTGGTATGCGGTATGTCCCTGCTCAATCAGTGGCGGACTGCAGCACGTCGGGGATCCGGTCCAACGCCCCCACCTCCATCATGTGGCAGTGGTCCTGAAAATGCCCAGGCAGTGCCAGCACAATGGCCCAGGCCTTAACACCTGCAGCCTTGACCCACCTGGGGGAGAGAGGAGACAGACACAGGGGGAGAGGAAGGGGGAGGGGAAAGTACGGGTTCGGGGAATGGGTTTCGAGGAATTGGCCCCCGTTTCCATGAAGCAGGGACAGGGAAAGGACGAGGAGGGGGAGAGACACGCGATCGAGAGAGAGAGAGAGAGAGGGCTCGCATGCCCCCGGATATGCCCCCACGTGGTCCTCTGCAAGCTGGATTGCCTCATCAAGCAGTGCTGGTCGGTGGCATTGGACCCATTCCGCCATCCCTTCTGGAAGTTGGGTGGCGAACTGCTCCAGTACCATGAAGTTGATCACATCCTCACCACCACGTCCCCCAGCCAGCAGCCACCTCCGGCAGGCGTGCCGGAGCTTCTGGCGGAACACAAACGGGCGGCCGAGTTTGCGGAAGGTCAGCATACGGAAGCACTGATGACACTGTTCTGGGGTACAGCCGACCCATTTCAAAATCGCCCATCTCAGGTCCGGGTAGTCTAGCATGTTGGCGACTGGCAGCTGCTGAGCCGCGAGTAGGGCTTGACCCTCAGGCCAGCCCCACACCACCGCGGAGTGCTCATACAGCTCCAGAAATGGCTCCGGATCGTCCTGCGGTCCCATCTTGGTGAGGGCAACGTGGGGTGGGGCCATGGTGGCTGCTGGGTCCGCGGCTTGACCAGGCCCTGGAGCACCTGCTGATCCGCTGCCTGGGCATCGGGCAGTTCTTTGATTTGCTGCTCCTGGTCTCGGCGTGGCTGGAGGAGGGTCTGATGTTGCGTCTAGTGGAGGCTGGTGAGGGACATGATGTCGGCCAGTGGTGAGTACTCCATGACTGTGTCTTCCTCAACTTCCTGGGTTTTGGCACCAGTGTAGCAAACCTTACGGGTTCGGGCGGTAATGAGAACAACTCAGAGGCGTTTTATTCTCCAATTTCACTTTCACTTTATTTGCGCACACACACACGCGGCTCTGTGCTGGAGAGCTCTCTCTCTCTCTCCACACTTGTCTCTCCTTTTTGTCCTTGCCACAGCTCACTGCAGCACAGAACACTTGTTAGTAGAATTCCCTGCAGGTGTCTTCCTTACCAGTCACCTTCTCCAGCTCCGCTCTATTCACAAACCAGTGCTTGACCACACCCACAAAGTTGAATAATTCCTGAAAAATATGTTGCTGTTCTTTCGGCTGATTGATTAGGCAGAGGTTTTAAGCCCTGACGGAACCCTCCCCTTTCTACCCAGGCTTGGTTCCCTGCCTGAGGATTGAACCTGGGCCACAGCAGTGAGAGTGTGGGATCCTTATCCATTAGTCCACCAGGGACCAGAAGCCCTCAAAAAATTTCTCCTTTTATCCCATTAAAATAGGTCAATATCATATATAGTGAATACGACTGAAAATATTTCCCATGTTACTGTACAGTAGTACAAAGGTCACCAATATATGGTAATTTTGCATACCTCATTAGGTGTGTGCCAATAACTGGTATGATATTCAATGAAGACAATCCTTTCAATAGCCCTGTGCTTCCACTATGTTGAAATAAACATAGTTCCCAAAAACATATAGTTCACATAAACATATAGTTCCCAATAGGAATACAGCAGAGGTATCTTACTAAGGATACTAAGCTATCCTAGACACCTTGCTGTGGAAACATTTGCAGACTGTATAGCATGTAACCTTCTTAGTGAAGAATTCTAATCAACAGATGAGATTTTAATGGAAGTTTGATAACCATGGTGGACAGGACAGCTTTTCCATTCGCTCCAACTGTGAATTATGTTTACAAATAATTAGCTTTGTAGCTATTTATTTTACAAGCTAATTTTAATCTGACTGTCTAATATTTTCCATCTAATTTAACTTCTTTAATAGCTGGTTTATTAGTTGCAGTTTAAATTAACAGGCATTTTTGGGTTTGTATTTGGGTTTGCATTGAAGGGAGCCTGCAGAGCCTCCTGTTCTGTTAAATTGTTGCCCAACAAGACAAGTGCAGGAAAACGTGATACTGAAATAAATACAGTAGTGTGATAATATTGTGATAATATTATAGTAAAACTTCAGACATTTGTTGCGATATGATGCTTTAATATGATATACATAATATCTATAATGGATTGGATATGCATATATTTATATTGATAGTAGAGATATAATATCTAATACCTCTCAGTGTAGCGGTTGTGTGTTGTTTGCAGGATAAAGCCATCAGCATTTGGGAGTCCAAGAACTTTTTTATGGAGCTCGACCCTATACCAGGAAGTGTGGAGGCTGTGAAGCAGATGGCCAAGATGAAGAAGTAGGCACAAATTACACTCTGTCACTTGAAGAGGTTAAACTCAAAACTTGCAGCTAAGAACCCCATTAACAGTAAAAATATGTGTACATATACAGTCAGGTCCAGAAGTATTTGGACAGTGACAGCGTTTTTGTAGACTTTCAGCTTTATTTTAAGAGGTTCCACAAAAATATGGCATTTACCATTTAGGAATTACAGCCATTTTCAACAAAGTACCTCCATTTTCAGGGGCTCAAAGGTATTTGGACAAAGTGACGTAATTGTAAATATAACCATAATTTTAATATATGGATGAAAATCCTTTGCAGTCAATGACTGCCTGAAGTCTGGAGCCCATGTTCTCAAAACTCAAATGCTGAGTTTCCTCCCTGGAGATGCTTTGCCAGGCCTTCACTGCAGCCACCTTCAGTTGCTGCTTGTTTGTGGGTCTTTCTGCCTTCAGTCTTGTCTTCAGTAAGTGAAAAGCAGCTCTATTGGGTTGAGATCA